TTTTTTTTTTTTTTTTAAGAGAAGATACATGTACTTATTCAAAGTCATCATAGGAAAAGAGGACTCATCAATTTCAGTTATGAAGAAGATGAAATTGTGGCTTTATCCATAGTTCTCTAAACTTATTTCCCACCAATATTTTCTCTGATGAGAAAATTAATTTTTAAAAAAGTGTAAGTCAAGTAATAGTTAAATTCTTCCCTTGATCTGCTTAGAGAATAAAATAAGGCAAGCAGCAGTTTAATTCTTGATGAACATGCAGCAAGTATTAGATATAAGCAGTGTAGCTAATTCTCCTAAGGATCACTTTTATCTCTTCATATATGTTCTCTACTTAACGAACCCACTTCTCTTCTATGCAAGGGTTGCCCCTATAATCTGGAAATTAATATACATTGTTGCATTCATTAATATTGTTGCTCATAAAAGACCTTGGGATTTTTATCATTTTTGAGTTCCCAGAGACTGATGGAAGCAGGCATAGCTCCAAACCACCTGAACTATTGGGGGAGAGGGGAAGATCCTATTAAAGTAAAACCTTAATCACCACTTGCATTTATATCCATTAACATTGAATGGATACCCAACAGGTGGTGTAGTCCTTCCATGGAACATCATAAAGTAGCAAAAGTAAAAGAAACAGTACAGTATACTCCTTGTATCTCAATCTAATTCAATCTCAAGAACATTCTTGAACGATGTAGTTTATGGAAGAATATATATAGTATGATTCTGTATCTGTAGAAACAAAACCAGGCAAAGCCAATAATGTCTTAAATACTGCCATTGGGGATGAGGATTTCAGTGAAGATCTGTGTCCCTGACCTGAGGAGACCCATACTAAGGAACCCATGGTTCATGTGCACTTGTGTCTCCTTTTGGGCTTCTCCACTGGCTGTGGCCTGAGTTTTACTTCACTCTGGTTTCTACCTTGCAGAAAATGGGAAAGGGTTTAAGAGAAATTTTGCTGCCCCTGGTGTCACTCTGCAGGAGGGGACATGGATGAGTGACATGAACCAGCTCTGCTATAGACTGAGGGGGGAAATACTGCTCTTCTCCGGAAGCTTCTCCTTTACTCTCGTCTCTTGCTTTGGAGAATCAAGAAAAGGGTGAAGGAAGCTGTCCCTTAGCACAGTCTAGATATTTCTGTGAGTGAAACTCAATGCTTGTCTAACCCACCTCACCAGAGGCTACAACTGGTGTGAGGACAAACCACAAATCAGCATTGGCCACCTTTTGTGCTCTCTAAGTCTCAGGAGTCTAAGGCAGTTTAGCAAACAAGTAAGGAAGTCTTCTTACTAGAAACATGACTGAAAAATGTATGCAAAGCATCTGGGGTATAAGATGCCTGTCATTAATGACAGTTCCTTTCTCATCTTTCCCCTTTCCTTGTCTTTGAAGTCATTAGTGTCATCTTGAAGCCAGTGGCGAGGTCACTACTTGAATTATATTAAAAACAAAAACTAAGGGCCCTCCCTGGTGGTTCAACAGGTTAAGGTGCAGTACTGTAGAGCGCAAGTTAGATCCCTGAGCAGGGAGGTGACCCACATGGCACGGCAGACCTCTCCTGTCTTCCCCACTGCTCCCCTCAGCAGTATATTTCAGTCAATCTGCCTGTTCTGCTCCCCACTCTCTCTCTCGTGAATCCTCTCAACCCCCTCCATCACACACCTCTGGCCTGTACCCCAGTTCTTGTATGCATAAATAAATAAGCCTTTAAAAAATGAGCTCTGGAAATTTCAGTATGATGCTTTCCAGACATTTGTGGTAAACCATAAAGATGGCCCCTAAGCTCTTCCTTGGGCTTTCTGTGTGCAGAGGAGAGAATCTAAGCCTGTTGGCTCCCCTGCCTAAACCTTCCCCTCAGTATGTCTTGATTCTAATTCCCTTCTGTTTTTGTCTTTCAGTTGTTCAGCACATCAAGCGACACAATATCGTTCTAAAAAGGGAGCTAGGTGAAGGAGCCTTTGGAAAAGTTTTCCTAGCTGAATGCTATAACCTTTATCCTGACCAGGACAAGATATTGGTGGCAGTGAAGGTAAGAGAACACTCCAGAATATCTCACTACCCTTGGTCATAATAATGTGTGGAAGAGTTACTTTATTTTATCTTAATTCATTTTAATGAATTCAAAAACAAATTACATATGCTATGGTGGATGTGTTCAAATTGACTTAGCTAAATGGCTAGTGGGGAGGCTATTTGGACATAGATGTTCTTCTCAGGAGTAACCTACCCTCTGCAGGCTGTGAAATGCTGGAGTTAGTCTTCTAAGTAAATGCTACCTACATTTTGGATGGAAGTCAGTGAGGTTAAACAGAATTCAATCAAGACTCCACCTAATTCTCTGAGTCTCCATCTGTTTCTTCAGAGTGCTTGGAGCTTGAGTTAGTCTGAGCTGGAGTTTGTATGTGTTTGAGATTCTGGAAGAGAGGATCATGGACTTTACTTATCTTCTCATTCTCTATTCTGATGCCATGATACCCCTTGTTTCTTCCAAATGTTTCCAAGACTCCAGGATTTTATTTAGCATAGGCAGGGTTCACTCCTGGCATGGATGGCAACCTACAACCTAGAAAACACAATCAAGTGGTCTGAAGACCTTGATCACAGCCTTTCACCATACCCTCAACCAGGAGATCTGATCTTCCATAAGATAAACATTATTGAAGGGGATGAAATTACCACTGAGCTCTTGAAAACATCAGAATTAATGAAAATCACAAAAAGATTTTAGCAAATCATTTATGTACACATTATCAAGATACTAAAAAAAAATTCACCAAAGTATTGAATAATATTTATACACACACACATATATATATATAAACACATACAAGAGATACATGTTTATAAAATAAATTAAAGTGCCAAGCAAATGACTTAAGTAATAAAATATTACATCTTGGTTTCTTAGAAGAGCTTTGTTTGTTTCTACCAAACACAAAATAATTTGTGTAAATAGCACATGTTTACTTATCATAACCAGAACTTTTCATTTTTGAAAATTAGATCTATATTCCATTACCATTGTATTTAACCTTAAAATACTTCAGAATATACATAATGTGAAATTGAAGAGAGAAATCATCCTGCAGACTACACACACAGCTTCTATTGAAGTTCATCCAAAGGAAAAACGGCATTTGCTTGTCATCAAAACTAACTAAACGGAATGTCAGAGATATTTCCAGACTCTCAACAGAGACTCCTAAAATTTGTACTGTGGAGTGAATAAAGGACAGATATTCTAGTGGTGAAAAATTCAGTATATGTAAAATAAACATCATCTCATTAAGATCGGCAAATGGAGGTGGGGGAGGGGTAAAGCCAAGAAGAGGGGAGGAGAGAGGAGGTCCTAGTGGCATCAAGTAGGGTAGAAGCTGTCAAAGTGGGACTTCAGCAGTGACCTGAGGACAGCCCATTCCTGCTGCTCATGCTTCCTCTTTTCTTTCATCTGCTCCAAAGCACCTTAAAAGCACAGAATGTTCAGAACATTTGATAGTGTTACATCTGCAGTCTTCGCTTTCTTGTGCTACAATTTTTTCCCCTTTGGATCAATGAGATCCTCCCCCCCCCCCAAAAAAAAATGCCTCCATTCTTGTAGAATTATTGACTGATAAAATGTCAGCACTATAAGAAGTTTCAGGAACATCAAATCCTAATCTAGTCATGTGTTAAAGACAGGGAGAGTGAAGACTTGGTTTCATGTCCTAGGTGTGTTTCCATTACTATTTAGAGACCACTTTGGGAATTAAGCTGGGCCTTCAGACTCTGAATATACTTTATGGGATCACAGGTGGGGATCTCTGAATATAAAATAATCCCAGGAGATTCAGGTGAAAGTGTAGGAATAGTTGAGAGAACCCAACCAGATATAGAGAAAGCCTCCCTAAACCAGGATGTGTAGTCTTTCACCTTGGAGTCGTCGTTTTGTGCCAACTTCTTGTATTTTCAATGTCTTTAAGAAGAGGGTGCTGAATAGACAAATACAGGGCACTATCAACTCACACATTACATTTCCTTTCAAACACATACTAAAATAGAACGTCAGGGTTTATAATAATAAAGGGCCAGAGACAGCAGTGTGTAACCAATTCCTTGCCCATGGCATGCTTCTGTCTGGTCATATTCACATCACCACCATCAGTGAAACCACTCTCTGTTTTAAATCCTAATCCTAGTACTAATCTCACCTCAGGCTCTGACCCAAAATCTAGTCCTTATACATTGCTGACTTTGCCAAGTAAGTGTCTACAAATTAATGCCATATGATGGTTATGGATATTTGCTCCTTAATCAACATTGCTCAAAAAAATTAAGAAGAGGTGATTTCTTTATCAAATCTTGGCCTCTTTGCTGCTACTGTTCTTGAAATTCAAATGAAACCATTACCTCCACAAGGAAGAACAAAATGGTGATGGCCGAACAATTCATTCCAACCTCAAGGTGACATACTTAGGGAGAGTTAGCTCAGTGACCTCAAATGTGAATTTTTGTTGAAATCAGAAGTTTTGCTCTGTTTTCTAGAATGATTCCAAGCTTCAGAGAGGAGGCCCATTTTAACCCTCTGTGTTCAAAGGCTTCAGCCACACAATGGAAAGTTGAATCTTCCGGGAGAAATTGTATCAGAAAAAAAACGGCAGACCTTTCCCAGAGTTATCTCTAGTCAGCCTGGCTTACTCATCCTTAGGGCTGCAGGCACTTAAACATATACTTAAAATCTAAACGAGCTGAGGAGTACAATTTCTACAGTCCTGACCACACTAAAGGGATGTATTTTCAGCAGTGACAAACTGACTTCCAGGGCCAGCACAGCCTGTCACCTCCAAGGAGTGAGGAGTGACTGCCAGCCCTGCTCCTCTTCCACTGGAGGCACAGGGATGCTTGACAGTCTTTCTGCCAGTTGCCTAGCAACCCCTGCAGCATTGATTATTCATGCTAAGAAATAGCAGCTATTGTCCTTTTTCCTTTTTCTAGAAGGAGCTGACTGGTTTGAAATTCAAGGCTTTGCTTTCAGATTGATAGATGTCAGATTTCCATAAATTCTAGTGTCTCTTGCCCCAATGATTTAAGAACTTAAGGGTTCCACAAGAACCAGTTTAAATGGACATGAGTGAGCCTAAGGCATATACAGGGAACTCAAGGGCATCCGCGGGTGGGTAAGCCTCTTTCATTAGAGTATCTGCTTATTCAGATCCAACCAGATTGTTCTGATATTTTTGGATGACCTTTGTTTTTTCCCCCTGTAACAATGAATTACAGTTGAAGAAGCCATAGTGTTGGATGAGAGGCAGAGAACCCAGTCTTTGATCAAAATGAGTTACTTCACCTTTAAGTAACTCAATTGCCAAGGAAACGCTTCATTGCAATTTTCCTGCATTAGCTGTGCCTGCATTAGCTATTTTTGATTTTATCCTGCATGTCAATAGTTACAATTGCTAAAACATTTCCCTGTACTATGAATTCATGCTGATTGTTGTTTTTAAAACATAGCCACAAGTGTGCTTAGTAGGATTTGTGCCCTCTCCACCAACTGCAGTGCATTTCTAGAAATATAAAATGTTGAATATAAGCCAGACCATAGAAATCATATAGATAACCCAAGTCTTATGTTTTATAGAAGTGAAACTAAATCTAGGGAAGTTTACTTGACTCCCCCAAGGTGTATGTAGTAGGTGTGCACAGAAAACCTGGTGAAAGAGAAATAGTTTAATCTGAGTTCAGCAGAACCTTCTTTGCAATCTGATAGGACTTTTGTTTTTTCATGCTTCTGCATATCATCTTGTAAACAAAGGAAATGATGGTTTTCTTCACAAAAGGTTTGGGAGAATTGATTGATGAACCCTCAGCTTCCAACATATTGTCACCATCCCCCATGCCTAGCCCAGCCCCTTAGTCTAGCTATCAGTTCTCACTTCAGGTTGCTCCTCTACCTGGAGATCTCCCAGTGCCTGCTCCTTTATGTAAGACAGCCACCCTATAATACTCTAATAAGGTGTCCATACCACATAGCATTTGTAAAAGTTGTTAATAACATATGTACTCCCAGGCTTATTTAATCAATGGCATCAATGCTTGTCTCCTCTGTAATAATGGCATACTCCCCCAGGGAACGAACCAGCCCTCTTAGCACATTATCTAATATGTGGTATTAGGATGAAGGAATGAAGGGATAGATGAGTGGAGAGATGTGTGTGTGTGTGTGTGTGTGTGTGTGTGTGTGTGTGTGTGTGTGTGAGTAAATGGATGGATGGGTGGATGGCTGGATGGATAGATGGGTAGACTACAGAAATAGTAGCCTTTTGAAAAAGTAAAGACATTTCAGTTGGCATTTCTAAGTAAGGAAATGTTTTGATGAGTTATGGTAGACAAGAAATTTTATAGCTAAATGTAACTGTATAGATGATATATACAGAATAATGTTGTCTGTTTTTAGAAGTGATTGAATCCCTATAAAGATATATAGAAATATTACTAATATTCTTCAGCTTAATTCCCACATTTTGCCCATGAGGGAAGGGGAACTCAGGGTAGATAAATGAGCCATCTAAAGTCACAGAGCTTGACAGAGGCCATTTAATGTCAGATCTTAGTACAGGACTAAACCTCAGGCTTCCTCATCATCCGGGTGCCCATTGTTGCTCCCATATACTCACACCCTGACAAACCAAATCAAGTAAACAAACACAATGTGTTATCTTGAGTTATGTCACCTTTTCCTCTGGCCAAAAGAATAGATTCTGATATACTCTGATTATCCAGGCCTGGGTCACATATATGTTGTGAAATTAGAAGATGTCAGCTCTATCCAATACATATGGACTGAGTGTAGGGAAGCACTGGTTCCTCAGGGAATATTCTAGATGCTATAGCCAAACAAGGGGAAAGAGATCTTATGGGAGGGAAGTGAAGGAAAACCTACTCAAATTGGAGCTCTGGGAAAGCCTGGCTTCCCACCAGTCAGAATCTGAAAGCTCTCTGAGGGGCTGAGGTAACCCACCTACTGTCCTCATTTAGCTTCCCTGTAGCAGACAG